GCCAGTGATGCACAACGTCCACTTTGGTGGACACGTGATTCATTGCAATTTACTCAAAACAGAAAATCAATACTTGAGTTTTTCAACAATTATACAACGCCTCCTTAGATGTTACTTGACGTGCACATATTTTTTTAACCTGCTAAACCACATGTGTCAAAGTCAAGGCCCGCGGGCCAAATCAATTGCGTTTTCCGCTATTTTCATGTTCCCAGATGTCTATTATATCTAATATGTTTAGGGATAAGCTTGAGAGCATATTGAATCGAGCCAGCAGGTGGCAGCAGTGCTCTCTGAATGGTTTGAAAACAGCTAGATGCACTTGTTGTGCCTCTTTTTTCTCAGCTTTTTGCTGATTTCAGTAAAACTTTCCTCTACTCAACTGGGGATTACAAGCTAGAAACAAAATTCTGTTTGCTGATGAAAGTAGACAGTCTATTCTTTCAGAATCTGGTTTCGGATTTCAGATAGTCATAGTACACAATATTCTGTGGGTCTTGAAAAATCTATAAAAATCATCAGAAACTGCTGGCAATATGGGAGTACCTGTTCTGAAATAGGCTGGCAGGCAATGAGTTAATAAACATTGAACCAGTCCGGCCCTCGGCTCGCAGCAAATTTGTCTTTTTGGCCCTCTGATGTATTTGACTTTGACATGCCTGTGCTAAACCTTCCTGGAATATAACGTATGAACAGATTTTCCTCCTTCACTAAGCACATTTTCTCTTTCGTCTGCCATCTTTTTTTGGGAGTTTTGTTTTACATTTGTATTTTTACCAGGATGTAGCAGTGCATATGGGAAGACACACCAGGGTCCACTATAGTGACTAAAGTGCAACTGGGACTTTAAAACTCACACATATGGATGAAAACAACTATTGAAAAGCTGTCCACTGTAGTGACCACTATGCATGAAAGGGTTAAAAAAAAAAATATATATATATATATATATATATACACTATATTATATACACACTTTTTCCCTAGTGTCTAGACCCACTGCAGCACTCATCTCTCCTGAAATTTCGACATAAATAAATAATAAATGAATGAATGAACCATACTGCTGGTGAGCCAGTTCCCACATGCGCGCTCATCCTATCTCTGCTATGCGGAGTAAAGGGCAGTGGCTGAGACAGTTTTGAGCAAGATCAGGTGCATTTATGGGGCTTTATGCACAAAACTAAGGAAAACCCACATTGCTTTGCCAGAGATGAATGAGCCAAAACCAAGCCCCGGCAATCCAAGATGGCGCCCTATTCAAATGAATGGTTGTGTCACTCCCGTATTCGTCCCGGAAACCGGATTCGTCCGAAAGTTCAGTTTGATCCAATGAGCAAACGCAGCAGTAGATTACGTCACGGAATCTGGACGGAAGCGGAAGTAAATATAAAAAACTACCTATTCATGCCTAAACTTAACCAGCCATTCCCCTAAAATAACCCCAACCCAGCCTTAACCCTAACCTTAACCATCTTAATCAGACGCCTAAACTTAACCCGTCTCCACTTAAGGACATATTAAACTTTTTGAACATGCGCAAACTGAACCTCAGGACGAATCCGGTTTCCGGGACGAATACGGGAGTGACAGGTTGTGCTCAGTGGCGCTTTGTGACGGCATGGGGGCTGAAAAGATTAGCGGAAGTTGCCTGAAATCTATGGGAAACTCGCAAAGATCTATGGGAAACTTGCCTGTATTTGGGCATCGTCTGGTCCTCCCGGTTCTGCGCAGTGGATGATCTCCCATAATGCGTTGCGTCAAACACGCGTGTGTGGGTCTCACACCGGGTCTCACGCACGTGCACAGAGGGGCTCGGCCGCGCTCTGACCAATCAGAGCAGTTCATCAGAGCGGGAGTTAGAGCGAGAGCCAGACGAGCAGAGTTTGTGGCAGTAAAGTGTGGATTTAAACAAAACCGAAGGATTTCAGAAGAAAAAAAGTTCAAGATGACAAGGGACACTAAAATCCCCACAAAATCCTATCTTTATTAAAGCTGTAGGTTCTCTGTCAGCTGAGGTCGAGCTGTTTTAATATGCATTGAGTTCTATGGGGAACATTTCTGCATTAAAATCATAAATAATCACAGAACGGGCGGCACGGTGGCTGAGTGGATAGCACTCTCGCCTCTCAGCAAGAAGGTCCTGGGTTCGAATCCCGGTCGGACCAGGGCCTTTCTGAGTGGAGTTTGCATGTTCTCCCCGTGTCTGCGTAGGTTTCCTCCGGGTACTCCGGTTTCCCCTACCAATAAAAAATATGTCCAATAGTTCTGGCATGCGCTTCCTGTTCAGCGACCCCGCTCCCATCTCTGTGTGGAGTGAGAGACAAATACCCAAAAATGAACAACTGTAAACCGCTTTGAGACTCAGATCTGCAGTGAAAAGGCGGTATATAAATAAAGATTACTTACTTACTTACATTAAAAAGGAAGATAAAAATATAAAATCCCTCAGTTGTATGCACAGCTAAACAGAACCGTTTTTAACCTGGTTTTAAACATTGTCAGAGAGGAGGCCTGTCTCACATCTTCAGGAAGATTGTTCCAGATTTTAGCAGCATGAATCTGAAAAGCTGCCTCTCTGAGCCACAGGAAGCCAGTGCAGAGACTTGAGGACCGGACTAATGTGGTCGTACTTCCTGGTTCTAGTCAGGACTCGAGCTGCTGCATTTTGAATGTACTGCAGCTGTTTTACAGCCTGTTTGGAAAGACCTGTGAGCAGGCCATTGCAGTAGTCTAACCTACTGGAGACAAATGCATGGATAAGAATCTCCAAGTCTGCTTTAGACACTACGTATGTTTTTGATCCTGGCAATGTTTTTTAGATGGTGAAAAGCTGCTTATGTTACTGATTTGATGTGGCTATTAAAATCTAAGTCTGAGTCCAGTATTACCCCTAGATTTCTGACCTTGTTTGAAGGTTTTAGGGAGAGAGACTGTAGGTGACAGATGACGCTCTCTCTTTGTTTCTGGGGACCAAAGACAATCATTTCAGTTTTGTCTGCGTTTAGCTGAAGGAAGTTGTTTTGCATCCACTCACTGATCTGTTGGATACAGTGAAGGAGTGAGTCCACTGGTCCATGTTCTCCTGCAGTCAGTGAGACATAGATCTGAGTGTCGTCTGCATAGTTATGATAGGAAACTTCGTTTCTGCGTATTAACTGACCTAACGGCAGCATGTAGAGATTGAACAGAAGAGGTCCCAGGATCGACCCCTGTGGAACTCCACAGGTCAGGGCCATATGATCTGAGACACAGTTTCCAATCTCCACAAAGTACTTCCTGTCTTCAAGGTAAGACCTAAACCAACTTAGGGCGGTGCCGGCGACGCCAACCCAGTCCTCTAGTCTCTGTAAGAGGATCTCATGGTCGACGGTGTCGAAGGCAGCACTTAGATCTAACAAGATTAAGATTGAGACTTGGCCTGCGTCAGTGTTCAGCCAGATATCGTTTGTAACCTTGACAAGAGCAGTCTCAGTGCTGTGGTGGGGTCTAAAGCCGGACTGAAACATATCAAATTAGTTGTTGATTATAAGAAATCTAGTAAGCTGTAGGTAGACAACTTTTTCAAGGACTTTCCCCATAAATGGCAGATTTGAGATGGGACGATAGTTGTTAAGTACAGTGGCATCCAGACTGCTCTTTTTTAGAAGGGGCCTGATGACTGCCGTTTTCAGGGCCTTTGGGAATATTCCAGAATGAAGGGACATGTTTACTATCTGTGTGAGCGAAGGTAACAGACTGCTCAGAACAGACTTCAGAAATCTAGTGGGTAGTACATCCAGGCTGCATGTGGAGGAGCTCAAACTGGAGATTATCTCCAGTTAACACAATAGGAAAGGCAACACACTAGAAACGATCTAGTCTGGCCTTATCCATCCGTACACTCCGTTCAATCATCATTTCACTGCATGTAACGTCTGGGTCTAGTCCCAATGTTAGCAATTACAATCGGTTGAATTTCGACCGACCATTCAGCGAGCGCGGAAGGCAGGTGTTGTAGTAAGTTGTGGGTGACGTCAAGAGTTTGCGTCAAACAGGAGGGTTGTGGTTTGGCAATGGCGAAAAATGCGATAGTAAAGTAATCCGGTCTGGTTCTATCAAGAAATTGAAGCCAGAGCAAGAGGAATGTTTAGCAAATGTAATCGCTGGAAAAATTGTGGCACTACTCCCTACGGGCTCCGTTAGCGGCAAAGGAGATGGCTAGGCTAAATGCTAAATACTAACGGCAGACTCGGGCGCACTGCATACGTCAATGTAAACTCAGATCCAATCGTTTCAATCTGCAAAAGGAGTTAACCCCTCCCACCTGTAAACGGTGCTCATTGGAGCATCTCGAGACCTTAGTACAAAATGTAATTTGTACTATGGTGTGGTACAACCAGGCTAGAAACGATCTGGCAAATCAATTTTGTGTCAGAACCACTGCTCTAGAGCAAAATATTTGTTCTATGACTTGGCTTTGAAGATTTCCTAAAAGAGTGAATAAACGTTGAACTGACAGACACACTGCTACTTTATAAACACATTATAACGTTTGCTTTATGACAGATTAACCTCTATTACCTATTATATTTTCTATTCTAGTGTATATATTATATAACGTAGTGTTTACCAGCACGTACAAGAAGCGTGTGTGTGTGATAGGAACCGTGTGTGATAGAGACGGTGTGTGTATCTGTCCACATGTGTGTGAGAGACTGTGTGATAGGGACTGTGTGTGTGTGTCTGCGTGTGTGAGATAGACTGAGTGATAGGGACCGTGTGTGATCGGGCTGGTGTGTGTGTGTGTGTGATAGAGACGGTGTGTGTGTGTGTGTGTGTGCGTGTGTATGTATGTGAGGGAAAGAGGGAGATTTTTATTGATTAACATCTCTCCAGTGTACCTACTGTATTTGAACATTTACAGAGGGTTTTTTTAACCTTCAGCTCGTGGTGATCTTTATCAAACAGTAACATGAGGAAGCAGTTATCCTCTCGCTCCGTCACGATGAGCTTCAGTCATGGTCAGCTTTGAAGAGATCCTGCAGGAGGTGGGGCCCTTCGGCCGCTGCCAGAAGCGAGTCTTTCTCCTGCTCTGCCTGGTGTCTCTGCCCATGGCCTGGATCTACGTGGGCATCGTCTTCCAGGGCTTCACTCCGGAGCACTGGTGCCGTCAGCCCACGGTGCAGGAGCAGAGGCTGGCCTGTGGATGGTCTCTGGAGGAGAGCGTGAGCAGGACCGTCCCGTGGGTGAACGTGTCGGGAGAGCTCCAGGCCAGCTCCTGTCTGCAGTACGAGCTGAAGCAGGACCTGAACCAGAGCTGCGAGCTGAGCCAGGACCTGAGGGTTGGTCCTCTCGTCCAGTGCAAGGTCAGTCACACTACAAAAAAATTATAAAATATGAGATGCTTGAATCAGGTCGTTTTTTTATCTTAATTACATTCTGACTGATTTGCCAATGGGACAAAGCCATTTAGTCTTATTTCAGGAATTGTTGCTTTATTCTCTCATTCCAAGTGAGACATTTCTTGTACCTTTTTTAAAACCAAGATAATTTTGCTTTTCCCATTGGCAAATCTTGTTTTAAGGTCGTCAGAATGTGCTCCAATTATGATGTCAAATTTGAGAAATGTTTTGCCTGTTTTTCATCATAGTTTTTGCAGTGCAGCGGTTGTGCAAACTTATTATGTACACAAGATTCTTCAAAATCTTTAAAAAACAACGTATAACAGAAGTTCAACAGTGATTGGAGAAAATGCACTTTGCTCCTGTTTATTATCTAGAACAACACACAAAGACAGATAGAGAGATGGATTTAACCGCATCCAAAACCACTTTGGTGAATGGTTAACCACAGAGTATCTGGCACGCTTCCTTTTTTCTTTCCTTTATGTCTGTGTTGAATGAGAACTGGGGCAACACAGTTGTGTTTGTGTTGTGGAAGAAGAAGCATGTTATTTTATTGACATATAGTACACACAGAGAGGAGAATTACTTGAAAAAAAGTATCTCATAAAACTTAATTGGACACATTTACAAATCAATACTAAAAGTAAAAAGGTGTTCTAGACTGTTTTATTACTGAAGTATGAAGGTGTCTAACACGTTTCAATCATGTTTTGTTTGGACTGACTTTAAGACAATGACATTTTATGTTAATGGGCATTCCCCTGTAAATGTGTTACTAATGATCTTGCAGCTGTACAGTACAAATATACAGAATTAGTAGTGTTTTTGATGTGTATTCGTTTTTATGTTTTTTGTGTGAGTTTTTCTGTCCTATTTTGTCTAAGTGCCATTAAAAGTCTAACACTATAGGAGTTCATTATTTTGATCTACTGCTGATCTGTGGATGGGGCCATGTATCGTGAGATTTTGAACCTTCTTCAATCAGTTACAACACGAAGATGAACATGGCTGGGTCCAACATAATAATAATCCGGTAAAACTTTATAATACTTTTTGATTTTGAATCATTTATAAATGTTAAGTGATCATTGACTACTAAGTAATGACACATGTGATGCCAAGGAGCGAAATGTTTTTTTTCAAAATGTATGTGAGACAACGACTCCAGGAAGAATTGCTGTTTTTATACAGCTAATGGAGATCGTAATAAATACAAAATACAAATACATTAACAAAGGTCTTATTTATTATTTATATTAACAAATAATCATCTAAACATTAACAATTCATTAACACGTGATATTTGTAACAGTTTAGGAAATCATTCATTACTAATGGACAAATAATCTAGTACTCATTAAGTGTTTATAATTATTCATAAATGATTTACTCATGATTTACTAATTGTTAGTTCATTATCAAAGGTTGATTATTCACATGTAAACATTATTATAACTACTCATGACCTAATTATTATTGTTATATATTAACATTATCATTTTGTTACTACTGTTTTGCATTCATTTTGCATTTACTGTACCAACAACTGGAGTGCCTAACTTTAGTTTTCAATCAGGTTTTGATTGTGAAATAGGAAAGGCTTTCTAATGCCTCAAAACATTTAACATTAAGTACACTCTTTGTTGGGACAAATTAAATGTATTTGTGGAACAATAGAAAACACCATTGGTAGCTACCTGTGTGTTTTTTTACTGGTATCAGTATTTCACTTATTTACCACTTATTTCACTAATACTGATGTACTGCTTTCTTTTAAACCCACATACTTACCTTTCTGATAATAACACAACATAAAAACAGTTTTTAGTAGTTAGCCACTGTTTTAGTTGTTTTTCATTCTTGTTTGCTGCAAGCATTTGTAAATGAATTTAGGAAATGAGTTGTTCATGTAAATTGGATTTACATATAATTAGGTAAACATTTGATAATGAGGAACAGTCACTACTTTATAATACTGTTTGGAAAAATAGTTAGTAATGAGTACTAAACATTAGTAAATGAGTTGTTAATGTGAATTGATATACTTAGGTAAACATTAGTTAATGAGGAACAGTCCCCACTTCATAATACTGTTTGAAAAAAGTAACTAATGGTTAGTAAATGAGTTGTTCATGTGAACTGGCTTTGCATATACTTAGATAAACATTAATTTTGTTATTGAGGAACAGTCCCACTTTTATCATTGAATGTCAATAAAACATTGAAAAATGTATTTATTTTATATTTTCTGTTTCTTAGTAGTTCATGATATGAATACTTAGTAAATGATTTAAATGAGTTGATACTATGTAGATCATGAGTAGTATAATTTTATTTTGATGTTGATGAATATTTAACATATCACCTAATCATTGTTCATTAGCTGGAAACACTGAAACACATGATTTCCTAAACAGTTACAACTATTATGTGTTAATGAGTTGTTAATGTTTAGATGATTATTTGTTGTTATAAATAAGATCTTTGTTAATGTTTCATTACTTAGTAGTCAATGATAACTTAACATTTATAAATGATTTATAATCAAACAGTTATATAAAGTGTTACCCTATACATTATCCCTTACAAAACAGTACATTAATAGAGTGAAGATATAATTTTTCAGTTGGATGCAGCTAAACAGAATTGTTAATTTTTTTTTGTACATTGGGATCAAATTAAGGATCTAAAAGCATAAGAAAGACAAAATAAAGCATTTTTTTCTAAAAATGTTTGAACAGGAATAATATAGGTTTCCATAACAACACAGTATACATAATTCTGAAGTGATCGAGCAAACGGACGCAACAGTAGCGTTCTCACGATTGACACTGATGCCGTCACTCTCCTCGACATCCTTGTTGTGAAAACAATAAACACTACGGCCAGATGGGGCTCGGGTCTAATTACTGAACATACTGTAGTCGAAAATTGTATTATTATATTTTTTTATTTAAGTCATAAAGTCAATATCCAGTTGTTTCTATGATTCTTCACATGTTACACTCAAACTCACAAACTAATGATTGTGTTGCTGCTGAAGTGTCTCTTTGGGCTTTGGCTCAGGCCACGTCCTTTAGTCTCAAATATGATTTTATATGATTATTCACTGTTTGGACCAAATATTAAAATATTAAGACATATTTTCCTATTCAGCAAAAAACAGAAAATCATATCCAATCACAGGAGATGAAAGTGTTTTTCCCCCAACAGCTCCATACGGCTGCTGGGTGAAGGCCACGTCTATGGAGACAAGATGGACACAAACATCACCATTTTCAAGAAAAGAGTCTTTTCATCTGTGATGATGATGATGATGATGATGAAGCCCCAATGAGTCAAACTCATGAAGTGAAGTCTTGTGGTTATGTTTGTGGTTGTGGTTTGGTGTTAGGGTGAGTTTGGTCTTATTGGCTGGAAGCTCCTTCAGAGCCACATAAGAACCACCTCCTCTTCCTGTTCTTCTTCTGGAGGAGTTCCTCCTGTCGCTGCTGCTCCATCGTGGCCATGGTTTGTTGCAGCAGGTTGTTCTCCTGCCTCAGAGTGGAGCTGGTCTCCTGTGAGGAGGTCAGAGAGAGAGAAAGCTCCTCTATCTTCTGTTCCAGTAGTGTCCTCCTCTTCTCCTCAGACTCTAACTTGTCTGACAGAGTTTCTATTTGAGCCACAGCAGTTTGGAGTTCCTGTTGTTGAACTGTAAACACGTCCTGCTCCTGCTGCGCCCCCCTGAGGCTGAGGTCTGTCACTGCAGACAGCAGCTGCAGCGTCTCCTTGACTCTGAGCCTCCATGACTTTGTTCCTCTCCTCCTCCAGAGCAGAAGTCAGAGAGGACACTTCTTTCCTCAGTTCATGTGTCTCTTTCAGCAGCACCTGCTGTTTCCCCTTAGCCTCCTTCACTGATGACTTTTCTTCAGCCAGCGCTGCTTTGAAAAGGGACACTTCACTCCTGAGCTCCTGTGTCTCCTTCTGCAGCAGGTCCACTTTGCTCTGAGCCTCCATGGCCTCCTCCAGAGCAGATATCAGAGAGGACAAGTCTTCCTTCAGCTGCAGCGTCTCCTTCTCCATCCTCTGCACTTCACTCTGAGTCTCCTCCAGACTCCTCCTGTCCTCCTCCAGAGCACTGGTCAGAGAGGGGACCTGATCCTTCAACCCCTGTGTCTGTGTCTCAAGCACGTTCACTGTTCTCTGAGACTCCACTGAGCAGATCCTTTCTGCCTCCAGGGTTGTTTTTAGAAATGACACTTCTTTTTTCAATTCATGTGTCTCTTTCACCAGCACAGCCTGTTTCCCCAATTAGCCTCCTTCACTGAGGACTTTTCTTCAGCCAGAGCTGCTTTATAAAAGGACACTTCACTCGTGAGCTCCTGTGTCTCCTTCTGCAGCAGGTCCACTTTGGTCTGAGCCTCCTTGGCCTCCTCCAGAGCAGATGTCAGAGAGGACACTTCTGTCTGCAGCAGCTCCACTTCACTGTGAGCTTCTGAGACCTTGTTCCTCTCCTCGTCCAGGTCCTGTGTCAGAGAGGACACTACTTCCTTCAGTTCAGTGTCCTTCAGTGTCTCTTTTACCAATGCCTTCACAGACGACTTTTCTTTAATTCTGCCTTTCACCAGTCACTTTACCTGTTGATATCTTACTGTTTTATTCATATCCATCTGATAATTCTCCCATTCAAGTCACTTTACCTGTTGATATTATTTCTGATGTTTATTCTGCTCATATTCATATTCTCATATTCTCCGCTGCTAATGTATAATATAGACATCTGTAAATACTCCGAACCAAGTGCAATTTTCAGAGTTTCTCATTTTATTTTATTTTATCTTAAATTTATTGTCTATTATCTTAAATAATAGACTTTGATGTGTGCAATCTGAGTGCTCTTATTTCCTTTCTCTGCTGTAAAGTGCAACAATGACACTGGAATTTCTCCACTGTGAGACTAATAAAGATTTATCTCTTTAGTCAGTGCTGCTTTATAAAAGAACAATTGGGTCTGAGCCTCAATGACCTTGTTCCTCTCCTCCTCCAGAGCAGATCCTTCACTGACGACTTTTCTTTGGTCAGAGCTGCTTTGTAAAAGGACACTTCACTCTTGAGGTCCTGTGTCTCCACTTTGTAAATCCACTTTGGTCTGAGCCTCCGTGGCCTCCTCCAGGCCAGAAGTCAGAGAGGACACTTCACTCTTCAGCATCTCTGTCTCTCTCTTCTGCTCCTCTACCTCTTCTCTAGCAAACCTCAAATCCTGCTGCGAGATCACTTTGACGCTGAAGAGTTTGTCCTCTCTCTTCAGGATCTTTGCCTCTGCTGAGGTCTTGGCCTTCTGCTCCTCCGTTCTGTCTCTGAAACCTGTGGGGCACCGGGTTAAAGGGCACTTCCTCTGGATTTCTGAGAGTGCTGGGACCTGCCCTCTGCTTTCTGGGCTGGTTCCCGCTCATGAAGATGCGAGGATCTGTGTTCTGACGTCTGCTTATGTGTGATTTTGTGTAAGAACAAACTCAAACTGTGTGTACGCTTCAACCAACTGTGTGTGTGATACAACCGACCAAATGTATGTTTGCTTTGGTCTGAAGAGGTCACACTCAAACCCAATTCGATCCAAGGTTTTACGATGACATGCCCATGAGTTACCATGGCAACGCCCCATTTCCACGGTTACCTATACAACACATATATTGGCACTATAGCCATTTAACAGATATGTCTGAGTGCACTACGTCGGAACAGGGCCTTTCTGAGCGGAGTTTGCATGTTCTCCCAGTGTCCCTGTGTCCGGTTTCCTCTACCACTCTGCCGTAACGTACTGTAGGACATGACTTTGCACATGACGTTACCGAAGAGCCACGTGAAGTCCAAGGCGTTTTCCACAGCCCAAAACGGCAGCGTGAGCACAAACTGGAGGTCGGTCAGAGCCAAACTGGTGACGAAGAGGTTGATGGAAGGAGTAGACCACGGAGATGCCGATCCTCGGTACCGCCACTGCGTCTCCCGCTGCGTCCCCGTCTTGGCTCTGGTTCGGATGGTGGGATGAGTTCCAAACGCAGCTGAAGTTTAAAGAAGTGTAGATGAAACCCGAGGGCCTGTCTATGTCCACACAGTCCTCAGACATCTTTGCTCTGCTGCTCGTTCATGACAAGAAAAAGTTTCACCGTTGAATCCGAGCGGAGACTGACGCACCGCGTTGTCCTTTTTCCTGATTTTTACGCAAAGAAGCTGCGCATTCGTCCTGACTTTGTTTTTACACGTATATAAATCAGAAAACAGAAATGTGACATCAAAAACATATTTGAAAGGATTACAATTAGCTCTATACCAAGTATTATTTTGAATAGAACAATTTTGTCAGTGCCATACAAATAAACACACTCCGTCATGAGCAGATTCTTTCGGCTTCACTGCCAATAACAACACATGTTGAAGATTGTAGCCTTAGTAAAATGATTAGACATGATTTCAAAACTGAGGCAAGGAAAATTACTCGCATAGCCACGGAAAAGCCTTTGGGAACTATTCATACTCATTAAATAAAACTTTCGGCATTCCTAAGAGTGGACTGAAGTTTATTTTGTGTGTTCTGTTGGTACAAAGCCGTATAATAAGCGCCCTGAAGGTGAAAACCTGTCGGTACTTATTTTCCAATAATGACCTGCGTACTATACATTATCCCTTACATAAGAGTACATTAATAGAGTCAAGATATAATCCTTCAGTTGGATGCAACTAAACAGAATTGTTTTTACCTGGATTTGAACATTGCCAGAGTGGAAGCCTGTTTCACGTTTTCACGAAGGACTTGCTATACGTAAGAGGCATCTCGAACCCGATAGAATCTCTACGGAGAAGAATTAGAAGTCTAGGCTGCTGAGCGACAACCCCAAAATATCATAAAGGAGATCTGCCTGGAAGAATGGGCCAAAATACCCGCTACAGAACTTGCAAAACCTGGTAAAGATTTTCTGAAATGTTTGGAGTGTTGTATCTTCTTCTCCGCAGAAGATGGGGTTTCCCGCACAAACCAGTATAGTGTTGGAGAAGGAATGCACTCTGAGTTATGTATTAAAGAAAGAGTTTAATGGCATAATCAGAATACATCAAGTCCAATTCAGGCTTAGCACTGTCAGCCTGGGTCAGCTCAGCGAATGAGGATGGTATGAATGACAAAGAACACATTCAGCACAGAGCTCTTATAGATGCGCAAGGGCAGGATGTCATAAATACTTGTCATTCAATAATCTTATAGACTAGTCCTGGTTAACTCAGTATCTCTGAGTCTTTCTTCCCTGAGGATCTCACTACATGTGGGTTTACTGCAAATGGTAAATAAATCGAATCTATAGACTATTATTGTCCCTCCAGATGTCCTAAGACATAATTATAACCAAACATGCATCCACAAGACATACATGTGCAGTCTAATGGCACAGACGCTGCCGAGATGCAGCTGCGGGTTCTATTGTCTCCAACGTCACATTGGCCTTATGATTTAGATAAGTGACTTCCTGCCATTGCGTGCTCACATTATCCCAAACACAATTTTACACATATGAAGATACATACATACTTTATGTTTATGTAGAATTAAAGAATATTAATAATTGCAGACACAACATATTCCCCCATTTGAACAGATACCATATCTGTTCACATAGTAAACTATCCTGTCTTCTTGCAGTGAGTATGAGAGCAAAAACCAACATCATATTAGCTTATTGGAAAAATTCTCTCATAGCCCCAACAAATCAATATTAATTTGTCTTCATGTGTTTTCGTTGACGACTACAAACATTGCACTCACAGCCTCGAAGCTCACATGACTAAAGACATTCAGTGGTAAGGATTGGATTTAATCCACTCAAAAATATTCAGCATTGACTCCAATACTCAGCTAAATCAACTTCATATTAAACTAAACTATTCCTAAAGTTTAAATCTAGGAATTTAAGAATCAATATTAAACTCTGAGGGAGTTCACTTCATTTAACAACAATTTAGTAAGTAACTGTGTTCCAATTACAGTCACTCAATTTCAGTATTCTAAATGTAAAATAAGTATTCTAAAACTATCAATCTAATCAATATGTTTAAATCTTTATCCCCAACACTGAACATCAACTGCAAAAATACATACACATCACCTGTAATAGAAAAAACACAAACACAAACAAAGAATATAGGATCACACAATATATTTAGACAAAATCTTCTTCCGTCTCCTGTTAATCTCTTCCGTTCTCAAGATACTTTCTCCTGATGAATCCAGTCCACACTCTGCATCAGAGCTCTTCAAAACCCCTGATTGTCATCAATGTCCACTGTCCAGTGTCCAATGTCCATTAATCATCACCATGATGTCCTCCTGAAAGCATAGAAAAACCAACCAGTATCTGGAACTCCTACAATTGTATGATCATATCAAGATATAAATGTATATGTGTAATAGATAAAATGTTAATTGTAATGTAATAAATGAAATTAATAGGAATATAATAAGTATAATAACATGATATGTTAAAGTATAATAAAACAAACATACATGAAAGATAAAAGTAATAAAATTGGTTAATAACAGGGTATTCCCCCTTTGGATTCAACACCTCTGTTTAATCCTACTATGTCAGTCCATGTGTCCCAGTCAATAGTAACTATTTAAGTCAAGTATTTGTCAACTAGTTGAAATTCAAATCCCATTTTTTGATAATCAGTGTTTATCTTATCCTGCTGCAATACTGCTAACTGCTTCTGATCACCTGGCATCACCACACCAATCCATCGTAGTATCAATGCCTTTGCAAAAGTCAGCACCAATGTACAAAAACAAAACATGAAACACAATGCTAACACTACTCCAATCAACCCCTGAAAAATCATAGCTCCTACTACACCAAATCTATCCTGCAGCCAAGAATTGGCTGAGGATCCTGCACTCTCTGATGGTCCAAAGGCATCTCTAATGATCTTCAAAGCATTAATAACATTTGTCATATTATCCGAACTATCAGGAATTAATGTGTAACATGCTTCGCCTGACAAATTCAATGCTATGCACAAACCTCCTTGCTTGGCTAAAATATAATCAAGCGCCATGTCATGTCAACCGATGACTCTTCTGAGTATTTGATAAAGTACTAAATCCCTTTATAGTCTCATTAGCAAAACCCTGAAGTGTGTATGTTATATTGTCAATATGGTCAGCAAGGAATGTAACCCCATACCATGGAAATAATCCAATTCCCCATTTTTCACCCAAATTGATCCTCCAATGATAGGACTCCAAATTGTTAAATTGTGCCATTTCTCTTTTTCTTCTACTATGCGGCCCAATCACTGGTTTGTTTACTGGATCCGGTGTGCCTTTTTTGATAATCAAAACTTCATAGGGAAGTTTTAATGTAGCCATATAGCAGCATCCTATCCATCCATGAGGTAAAAACATGTAAGCTTGGTCTCCACACACCCACCAAACATCTTTAAGTGTCCCCAAAGTCATATTTCCTGGAACGATCTCATTTTTCACCATTATTCTCCTACTCTGCTCACTGTTTGGTAATCGAAAAGACACAACGAGATTATCCTTAAGTGCTTCATCTGGAGTTTGATCCAGTGCCATACCATAACTTTTACATTCTGCTATGCCCAATGGCACTCCAGAAGTTTCATATGTCTTATTGGAACATAAACAATGATCAGCCTTTACGGAAGTGATTTCCATTGGCTCCGGTGCGATAAATCTCCCTTCCTTGTCTAATGAGTCTATATAAGGCAGAGCATTCAACCATGAACAATTACGTATAGGTCTGTACCTTCTGGAACCATAAAACCAATTCTCACTATTGGCTCTTTGATTGAAAGACACCCAAGACAGTACCATAGATTGACACGTGTGCCCAAGTGGCTGAGGCAGTGTCTCCATAATAGATGACCAAGTACTAGGTGATGGGATTCTAACCACACAAGGTTCATCCGTTTTACTTGCTGCTCTCACTGAATGTGTTACCTGTTGAAACCATAAATTTCTGCTTGCAAATGGATCTACAATCTGTAATGCTGATGAATCAAACCCAAATGCCTTCCATTTGGCCTCTCTTTTATTCATCAATCGATATTGCCCAGACATATCAGCTGGTGTCTCTTCAAAATCAACCAAATCTCCCACCTCAGCTGACATACTCTCAGGTGTAATATCCAGAGTTTTACCAATCACTGTTGATGTGATATATAATTCTGACTGAGCTACAGTCAAGGTTGAGCTTCTCTCAGGGACATTCTTTGAAATCACTGTCTTCACAGTAGCTTCTGTACTGACCACTTTCCCTCGCTCTACAGAATCCACTGGAGTAACAATTTCTACTGGTTTTATTTCAGTAATTTGTGATTTAGTCGACAATAAAGCTGTGGTTGTGGTATTTGTTGCCACAGTAATAGTAGTCATTGTAGTAGGAGTTGTAGTAGGTATAGTTTTTGTCATTGAAATAGCAACCGATACCTTCTTCAAACTAACAGTCTCGACTGCAGTCTTATATAACTTTGGAGCTACAGTAGTCACTCTTTGAGCTACAGCAGCTGTTGTCACCTTTACATCAGTCTGTTCAGTATTGATAAGTAATTGCTTCAGATCATCTTCAGGTATCAGATCAGAGACCAAATCAGCAACAAATAGTGTTATTTTATGTGTTCTGTGCCCTGGTAACCAACTTTTATTCTCTGGCACTAATGTGTGCTTTGTCTGAGTGTGTTTACAAATATAATCTCCTTGATCATTCCCTGTGATATTTCTTATCACAAGTGAGCACTCACCCATAACATGTTCCCACTTCAGGTCATTATACAATATATATTTCCTTATTACCTTAGGAGAACTTAACACTTCAGGTCCTGACAATTTCACCCAAATAAATATTAGACTAAGAAACAGTTATGCCCAAAGTAAACTATTTTCCCAATTGGTTCTGATCTGATACAACCACTTCAGTGCAGAAGTGACCACTGTAACACATAAAACTCTTCCCAAACTTTGATAAGACTCATCTTATCTGAAAAATATGTGGATCATCTCATTACATATATTTCACATAAGCTTCATCCAACCAATTATGTATAATCGTTCAAAAA